CAGGCTGGTACTTAGCATCACTAGGCAGGTTGACTGTTCTTTGCTTGTTCCTTCATTCTTGATCTGGAATCCCTAAAGAACCTCTCATGAGTGTGCTGTGAAACACAAAATATTTTTGAATATTTTATGTTGCTAACATTCTTATGATGATTTGAATCATCACATTGAAAAGCTCATGTAGAAATGAACACATTTAATTGAAGCAAGACTTCAGTGTTGTACAGTAAATACATGTAGAGGGAGAGGGTCTGTCAAAGAAGCCAGAACAGTGTGTCTACTCATCATTCTGTGCAGCCTAGGACCATTTAGAACTGGAAACTCTACTGTGTTATCTTCTGTTTGAAGGTTGTTCCATAAAGCAAGTACAGATTGAATGAAGGTTCTGCAAGTCATGAAATCTTGTCAGAGTAAAAATCTCAACAGTAAAATATCCAGATCACCCAGTGTTCATGTGTGCAAAACAAATTTCAGGTGCAATAAACTGCTGTGGAATCAAGCATCCCAAAGATTAGTAAGATAACCAGTATGGTAGGATCCAAGTATTAAAGTTATTAATTCAGTGAGTAAATGTTGGCTTTTGTGAAAACAAACATCTAGATTCATCCAATGCCATACAAAGGATAAACCTTTACCCTAGAACCGGGTAACAGTATATGGAAAATTTTTTACATCTTACCATCTATGTGCTTTGAAATATATTAATGGTCACCATGCATTTCAAGGATGGTTTTCTTTTCCCATCTCTTTTCTCCAGTGCTTAAAAGTGGAAAGGAGGGCACTGTGGTATACTTGCCCTTTTCTTCTAAGCCTTTTTTCCTTCAGAAAACCTGTAGCAGCATTGGTACATTGCTTTTTCTGAGACATTCCTTCCACATTTCATATCTTGTTGAATGAGTTGCAAAATTAGATGCTAAAGGTACTATTTTGAAGTTAATAGGATAGTCAAAATCAATTCTGTTGTTGACATAAGCTTAACAAACCAGGTAACCTGTTCCAGGCCTCAGATTGCTGTTTTTTAAGAAGATGAACAAATCAACCTCACAGATGCACTGCACAGTTTGCTAGTTATTAATAAACACAGATTTTGGCTTTAAGATAATTATGTTTTGCATGTGTGTACACATTAAATACTAAGTCAAGAAAAGCAAATTTGTGTGTTACTTCTAGATAGTTTCTTATGTTTCAAAAAGAGAGCAACTTCAACTATTTATAAACTGTAATTAAGTTTCTTTACAACATGACTCATTCTCAACAAGCACTTGCTTTTCCTTTTCTTTTTCTCTTTTGCTTTCTTATGAACTGTGTGGGAAAATTAGGGTTCAATCAGTGAAGAATTTACTCAATGCTTAATTACCCATAAACAGCCCTCCAAGTTCTGCTCATGTAGAGCTTGCACAAAGACATGATTTTCCCCACACTATAGCTGTCTAAAAAATGATCTGTAAATTGTAATGTAGGAGAAAGCAGTGTTTTACTGGATTCTTTCTCCAGTCTGCTTCTTTGAGTTCCTCTTACATTAACAGTGTGATGCTTAGGAGAGCCAGAGTAAGAAATCATCAGATTTAAATTACTTCGAGCATAGAACTAAATTAGAAAGCTTTACTTTCCTGAATGAGCTAATTGTTTAAATTTTCCAAAGGAAATGTTTCTATTTCTGTGAGAGAAGGGGTAAATGGGACTTCCTCTGACATAATTTTCATTTTAAATCTTGAGTTTGACAGCAGCATTTTTACCTTCATAACCAAATATTACTGCTTAACTGCATGACTTGTATAAGCTTGCTAGTTGAAGTGACTCACTTACGCAGATGAAGTTATTTTTAGGGAGATAATTTGCACTGTTTAGAAGAGAGTGAAAAAGGGAGAGAGAGTCCTACTAAGAGCTAGATCTCTCATTATAGTTTACAGAGCTCATGAACCCAGCATCCAAGAAAAGATGACTAAGCAAGGGGTCTATTGGAACTTTCAGGAATTTACAGACATGAGTCATCTGCTTATTTTCTGCAGACATATTACCAGTGTACTTTGTGAGTCAGCTGTTATTTGGAAATAGTACTTGTATTCAACATGAATACATTTTTGTAGTTCTTAGGAAACTATCATGACAAACCAACACAAGCTTTTACAGTTTGCCTAGTTCAGTTGTTAGTTTACAAAACTGATTTGTTGTTCTTAACTATGATGCATTTTTTCATGGCAAAGTGTGAATGTTGTCTTGCATGTAATTACAGTAACACCTTTGTCACCTTAGATATTGCATGAAGGCAGATCTGATTTTGTATTAATGTACATATTGAGAGTCAGACTGCCTGCACATGACCAGGAAAAAAGAAAAATTTTTTTTAGCAAACCGTGTTTGATTATGAGCAGAATTTGACCTTTCATGTCCAACACACCTTGCCAGCATTAATTACCAGTGGTATTTGCTTATTTTTTTCATTCTGTGCACTAACAGTGCCAATGCATGGGCATCCACTGGGACGGAAGCAAGTTTTTGCCGTCCTTTCCTATTGCTGAAATAATAGCTGTCTACCTTGAGATATGTAGAACACTTTAAACTCAAGGCTATTTCCTGTTTACTGGCCTTTTAGGTGTGGTTGTGTTCCAGAATTAGGGACAAGTTTTTTCACTTGGTCTGGAGTCATCCACACCTTATATTAAGGAAACACTTGGTTTAGAAAACTGGAATTTTGGCAATTTTGGGTGAAGGGTATTATTATAAATCAAAGGCAGTTTAAATTTTTCAAAACTCTACTTGCAGTTCAGGGTAATATTGCTGTTGTCCAGATGTGGGATACACAATTTTGAATCTAGTTTGATTATCTGATTTATGTGATCAGTTTTTAATGTAAGTAATTCCTGAAAATTCCTATACAGTTTTTGTTTAATAGAGTGTATTTTGGTGGTACCTTCTCATAACAAGTGCAGGTGTCACTCTAGTGAGAGCACTGCCTTGGATTATCCATTTTAAACAACATTTCTAGTGCTAGGTACCTTGTCCTAAGAGCCCACCTTTAGTTTTAAGTAACAGGGAAAAAAACTGTTGCTTCTTGTGTGTGTTATGTAGATTGCAGTTTTGAAGGGGAAGTTAATGGAAGTTAGAAATTCCCAACTAAAAAGTCGAGTACAAGGACTAAACTATTATTAGAATGCTTTGCTAAAGTTTGTTATTCCCCTTCCATGGTGATAAAATGCAAAAGTATACAGACTTGGTTTCTCTTAAGGAGTTGGTACTTAAGAATTAAAAAGATACACTAGCGAAACAGTTTAAGCACTCAGAGCTGTAGTATATTTATGAGATTAAAACAGAAAATCAGTCTTCTTGTTTCTTTACCCTTTTCCATGGTGGAGTCCTTCAGAGACTGAGGCACACACACCATTTGTGAGGGGAGGAGACAGCTTGCTTGCTGATAAATGGCCAAGTTACACCAATGTTTTTCAGGGTTGTTATTCAGTAATCACATTATAAAGAGGAATTCAACAGAGCAATCTTTGAATCTAACCTTTGTTAAAGCAGAAACTCAAATTAGCAGAACTCCGCCCATGTCATTACCACTTAAATATCTGCTGCAAGCTGCTTTGTGGGCTGAGTCACCCGGACTCTGGGAGTTGTCACGTGTGGCTCAGACACTGGGTCACAAACTGAGCAAGCACTGTCCTCCATGGGAGGCTTTGTTTTATTTTGGGACTGGCTGAAATAGCACATTTGATTTAGTTTGCTTCATGGCTACAAATGCTTTTACTTCTAGTAAAAACTACCTTGGAGGGTAGTTTAGAGAAAAGAGAGATACGGTGTAGCTAATGTACATCTGAGTATTTAGATGTAATTAGATAAATTGAAAAATGAAGGAACTAGCAGGATGGTAGCATGGAATCTGGAAAATAAAACCTGTCTTACATTGATTCCTCAGACTGTTAGCAGAGATTTCATAGGAAGTTCTGGAATCTCTGGAAGTATTCCAAATACAATTTCATTGCAGTGTTCTTGCACGGTACAGAATTCAAAAAATGTGATTTGGAGAATAGCAAAAAGTACAGTTTTAAATGTTTTATAAATGAAGCCTACATCTTTAAAAGAAATTAATATTCTTTTGTTAATTTGGGTGTTAGATTAGACATTTCATATTAGTAATTCAAGTCTGTTGTCATAACTCAGTTTAACTACAGATTTCTGAAGCCTCCTGAAATAAGAAGTAGACCAAGAAAATACAAGCTAAAATTCTAACAATGAAAAAATTAAAACCTGGTTCTGACCATGAAAACATACAAAGTTTCTAACTGTATAGACTATTCTGTTGTTCACCAGACCCAGCTGATCATGAGACAGTGATAAGCAAAGGGAACTAAGAGGTTCTGATTTATATTTTTAGTGCGATATTTTGGGTATTAATGACTTTGCAGTATGTTTTAGTTTTGTGGGTGTTTTCTTGTCTAGCAGATGACAGCAAGTTGAATTTTTTTCCAGCTCATATGACTGAATCTTTCTGTATTCTATATCAAATCATTTGACCACTTTAGGACACAGGCAGCTGTAAAATGAGGATGATAATGCTTTTGATGTCCATGAGGACACTAAAATATATTGGTTAAAGCAGATAAAGATAAATTGGGTTTTTTTAATGGAAAGCATAACAGAATGTATTTTGTGAATTTTTGAAAGCAAAAATTTCACTATAGAAGTTATTATTTTTTAATAACTAATTTTTAATAACTAAATAATTCTGGTGGAGATTTTATGATTAACATAGCAATACACTAGCTAAACTTTTTCAAAATCATGTACTTTACAAAAGTGTTTTGGTAAAGCAAAGTGTCCCATATAGCAATAGCTTGGAATAATTACTTACAAGATATGCAGAAGGATGTTTTAGAACTGGCCATTAATTTCTCCTTTTCTGACACCTTTAAACCAATAGAATGGTCTGATACATTCCCAATAAGAAGAAAGGTAAAAATACACTGGTATATTTTTATAGTTCTTTTTTTCTTTTTGAATTGCAGTTGACCTACCCCTGTACTTTCCTCGAGATCAACCAACCCTAACATTTCAGTCCGTCTACCACTTCACTAACAGTGGCCAGCTGTACTCCCAGGCCCAGAAGAATTACCCATACAGCCCCCGATGGGATGGCAATGAAATGGCCAAGAGAGCAAAGTAAGTCAGATTGGTGTTTCCTGCTAAGCATTCCATTTGTTTCATGGTCTTTGGTGGGTAGAAATTTCATGGATATAGCTGTACATTTTCAGCATTACAAAAGCTGAACCTGTTCTTGTTCTCATATATTCCTGGCATTTCTGTAGATTAGTGTAGACAGATACTTACTAATTATGCTTATTGCATAAGTTTAATAATTAGTGCCAGAGTACTGAACAAAAGAAGGCTCTTTCTGCTAGGCTTTGTATGGCATGGAGTTGTGACAGTCTCTGCTCCAGAGAACTTCCAGTCTAAGTAGACGAGATAGCCCCCAGCAGTAGTAACTGCATGGTAGCTGTCAGACAAGGTAACTCCCTGGGGTTATATAGGTGTTGAGGGGACCCCGAAGGGAAGCATGTCAGATGGAGAAAACAATGAAGAAAAACCTGAAAGATCTGGAATTAAGCTGTAATGAAAAGACATGGAAGAACAAGAGGAGGTAGAACAAACCACCATCCCAGCATAGGATGCAGCCCTATCAGATCTTGAGAAGGCATGTCAGATCTTGAGAAAGTTAGCCGAAGATCTGAGTATTTCTTGCTTTACTGCTTTTTTGTTGGATGGAAACAGAGAATTGCTCTCTACTTCCTCTGCATTTTTTCTGCAGCCCTTACTTTGGGCTGAGGAGAGATCACTTCAGTCTGTGTTCCCCTTTAGATAATGATAACAGGGCAGCCTCACAGAGGTTCTGTTGCAAGGGCAAGCTGCCATAGGCAGTAGTGTCCCCAGAGCTATTGTCCTTGTCTTCTCATGAAGCAGAACAGATTTTACCTGAATAGGGAGATACAGACAGCAGGCTTGCTGTAGTGTTTTGGTTTTGCAAACTGTAAAAATGTTAGAAACAGCAAGAGATTTAAGCAGGCTGATTATAAGTTGTTCAGCATGTAAAAGCATCAAACTGCATAAATTACAAGGCGTATTGGGATGAACATTTTGAATGACAGTCAGAAGATTAAATTCAATCAGCAAACATGCATAAAGAAGAGTTGAAAAAATAGTTCAAGTTGAGTAAATCAAATGAGTGGCATGGTCAGAGACTGTAATTTGGAAATGATGGAAGCAAACAGCAATTGACTGATGCATTTGTAGATTTTTATACTAATTTGAATTCTGTAGAAACATCAAGTAACATTTGATTTGGGATTTTAATATACATTGTAATAAAAAAATTTTCGGTAGTATTTGGTTTTGCCACCATACCAATGTTTAGAGGAGCACCATTTCTTGATCAACTATGATTTTTTTTGTGTGTATGGACTTTCTTCTTTCCTCTAGCAGGATATTATGACTATTTTGTTTATTAAAAAAAAAAAAAAAGAAAAAAAAAAAGAAAAAAAAAAAGAAAAAAAAAAAGAAAAAAAAAAAGAAAAAAAAAAAGAAAAAAAAAAAGAAAAAAAAAAAGAAAAAAAAAAAGAAAAAAAAAAAGAAAAAAAAAAAGAAAAAAAAAAAAAAAAAGAAAAATAAGAAGAACAATAACTGGAAGCATTACTGTGGCTTTTTATGACCATACTACAAAATGCATTTCTTCTGTAGCTGAAAGCTTATAAGTACCTATGTGCTGTCTGCTAAGTGTATTCGCTTATGAGTGGGTGTATACAAATGGACTTCTCTGCCCTGCACTTGAAATTTAGAAGTATTACAACAGTTCTCTTTAAAAGCACTAAATGTGTACACTTACTATCACATGTATGTTTGGTGAGGTTATTCACTCTTACGTTTGAGCCTCTGCATTTAAGTTTTACACTGGATACGTAATATGAGAAGGATGATGAGAAGTGGGGGAAGTCAGTGTGCTGAGATGTCTGAAATAGCAATCATTGAGCTGCAAAGAGACAGAGAAACTGCTCCAGTTAAAAGCGCTTAGCTTGCAGGAACAGCTAGTGATTCCTGAGATACCATAAAAAAATCTGTATCAAGAAAAGTATGATGTTATGATACATGTGAGCATATTTTAAGGAAGATTTTTAACACAATTCAGCATCTTATGTAAACAATGTTTAAAATATTTGCTAGGGCTTCTTAGAATAGGTTAGTGTGTTTCAACATAACCAATAGCTTCTTATTCTACTTCACTTTTACCATAGAAATGTTATGGACCAAGTATATGGGAATATGTGTTGGTATGTAGGAAAGCATTCCAATGAGACATATTAGTTCAAATAACACATGAAAACTTCCCAAATAAAAACAGAAAAAAAGAACCCCTGGTTAAATCAGAGACAACTTGTTTGTGTTTCTAAATACTGTCAATTAGGTTTTGCTTATCTATAGTCTTTTTTCCTCTGAGCAAAATGGTGTTCCAGGTGCTCAGCATTCTTTAAGACAAAACATCTCTGTTTATCTTCCTGGTCGTTGCTCTAGGGCCACAGGATCTCCCACTTGATATTCTAGTATCTGACCAAGTTCTCCATCCTTCTTCTCAGACTTCAGGGGTCAGTGTACACTGTCTTCCTCACTGGGGCTAAAGACACCATCAGGGATAGCTTTTGCTTGCTCTTGCACCAACTGTAGAAGCATCATAAAGTTTGAAATGGCATCAGTCACAGATTTCGTCATCCTCAATTTTGGCAAGCCCTGCCTCTGTTTTCAGCACCTCAACACAGCCTGCTTATTCATGGGCAGAGCTGTCATAAGTTCATTCCAAAGGGACTTTGATTGTGTGCCCAGCCTTCTCCCAAGGTTGTTTTGGTGTGGGTTGTCAATTTTTTTTCAAGCAGGTAAGCCCATCCAGTTCTTCAGTGCAGGGACTAAACTTGAAAGTCTTGGTATCCATGCTTATCTCTGTGGCCCTCAGCAGAAGTAGGCATCTCTTTTGAAGTTAGGACTTAACCCTTTGCTATAGCCTTGAGACAGTCAGTAGTTACTATAGGCAAGAGCAAAATCAGTTCCCTAAAATGCATACATATAAAAGTAGATTGTATGCATTCACACCGAGAGACATGTCACCTAAATCTAAAAGGCAAATTCTCATATCAGAGTATCAGTTTAGCTGGATCATTTTTACTCAGAGAGAAAAACTGCCCATCTTCTTGCTGAAGTTACTGTACCAATTTATATCTGTCTGATAAAGTCCATGAAGTCAGGCCTCTTTTCTGTGTCCTCTTAGGCAGATTTCAAAATCACTGGGCTACATTGCAGCCCACTGACTTAGAATCCTCACTGAGAGATAGCATCTGGTAACTGAAGCTTGCTATTGTCTTAGCCCAAGGGTTGCCCTCTGGCTTTATTTAATTCTGAAGGATGAATCAAGTCCTGATTTAATAATGTGATTTCAGTTGCCTCCAGATTGCTTGTTTCTCAGCTAACACAAAATTTTAACCTGTTCCTCCAGCTAGAAACAGGAAAACCATTAACATTAAAATTTTCTTACAAGCTGCTGAGATACCATTTCTTCTCAGTTGGTATCTCAAGCTTTGCCTCTTGTAGGTCATTTATTTATATGTCTGTGGCCTCCTGCATAAGCAGCTTCTCCAAAAGTTTTGGTCCTAAAATACAATGTCAAGCCTAAGAAAATACAGTAAATTATGGAAAGTTAGCAGCCTTGTTTGTGAAGTACGTGTGAAGTAAAACATCTCTGTGCAGTTTCCATGGGAAAGCTTACTTGTCTTTTTGCTTAACTAGGCATTCAAGTGTACATAAATGGAGTCTTTAAAGAATGTGCTGACTTGAAGCCTGGGATTTTATGAAGGAATACTGTAAATAAAGCTTGTTTGTTTATACAAATGAAATTCAGTTCTTAGATGCACTGGGGCCCAATTTCTGTCTGACCCAGTGCTGCTCTGTAGACTTAGATTATATTTCAGGGGAGAGCAAGTTAAAACTCAATTTACTCTTTTATCCTACATAAATCCACCTACTCATCATTAAAAATAGCAGGAGCATGGAAAACTGATATCAAAATAAGAAGTTGTTCCAAGAGTTCACATTCCCTTTTCTTTCCAAGTTGGCTGACAAAACAGGTTTTTGAATGACAATGTTACCCCTGACCATTCATCGGTGTTTGTTGAATGTGGTGCAAATGTTATATATCTCTTAGGGCTTTTGGAGAGTGAAAGCTTCAAAGGGCTCAAGTGCTCTCAGCTTTATATTGGCTATTGCTATGGCATGACGTCAAGTGCATCTTCAGATTATATGCAGGTGCATCTTGTGCAAGCCACAGCTGCAGCTTTGGCTTGTGCACAGTACAAGAGTGCCGTGGTTAGGAAGTGTCATGCTGGTGAACTGGGCCATCACATTTTCAGCCTCAGCGATACCTTTTCCTTCAGTATCAGCAAATTAGATGATGTGTATCATTTATAATTGAGGCCTCCACTGCAAGAAAGACCTTGAGGTACTGGAGCATGTCCAGAGAATGGCAGTGGAGCTGGTGAAGGGTCTGGAGCACAAGTGCTATGAGGCATAGCTGAGGGAGCTGGGGTGTCCAGTCTGGAGAAAAGGAGGCTCAAGGGTGACCTTATCACTCTCTACAGCTGCCTGGAAGGAAGGTGTAGCCATGCAGGGATCAGCCTCTTCTCCTATGTAGCAAGTGATAGGACAAGAGGAAATGGGCACAAGTTGTACCCGGAGAGGTCTAGTTTGGATATTAAGAAAAATTTCTTCCCCAAAAGGGTTGTCAAGCCACACTGCCCAGGGAGGAAATGAAGTGATCACCCCAACAGAGTGTGTGACTTCAAAGGTGTGTGGACGTGGCACTTTGGGATATGGTTTAGTGGTGAGCTTGGCAGTGATGGGTTAATGGACTTGATAAGCTGAGAGGTCTTTTCCAATCTTAACAGTTCTCTGATTCTATGATTACATTTGCAGATTAAAGTATTGCATTTCTCAGTCTAATAAAAGGATATTTGAAAAGAAAAAGGGACAGTTGTGTTGCTGTTTAGATATATCAGTTGTAGTATGTCAAAGACTTGCTGTCCTATTCAGTAAATTTTGCATGCCCTAATGAGTTTTTTTGTTATTTTTAC